TTTTAAGTGAAATCCCTGATATGTTTCAGTGCATATTTGAATAAACAGTGAATATTTGTTTTTCTTTTAGAGGTTATTTTCCCAAAGAACAAAACAGGCTTCCTTTTAACGAGTTAGAATTTGAATTGAATTGACCACACCCCTCTGGATTTTGATTTGTTGTAATTTTTTTTTTTTTTGGCTAATTATGCTTGTTTATTAACTAGGCTATGATAAGTACAGTGCTGTTAAACACAGGCATCACAAATGCCTATATTTTTCAGATAATATTATACAAAATAAGCAATATAAAATTTGAATCTAATTGTTATCTAATATATTGAGTAAATTATAGTGTACTCAGTTATAGTGTGGGAAATGCTCTTCTACCATGATTCATAGAATTAATAATAAAAAATAAAAAGAGACATACAATACAGTTCAAAAGGTTGGGGTCAGTAGGATTTAAAAAAGAATAATACTGATATTCAGCAAGTATGCATTAAATTGATCAAGTGTGACAGTAAATACATGTATTTCTGTTTCAAATAAAGGATGTTCTTTTAAACATTCTATTCATAATATAATCTTGTATCATGGTTTCCACCAAAATATTAAGTAGCATTAATATTAAGTTCATAATTATAAGAATGTTTCAGCAGCATATTAGAATGATTTCTCATTAATCATGTGACCCTGAAGACTGGGGTAAAAGCTACTGAAAATTCATCTTTGATAAAATAAATGCAGCCCTGGTGATCATTAGAGACTTCTTTCAAAAACATTTTAAAGGTCTTTCCGACCATAAACTTTTGAACAGTAGTGTGTGCATGTTATTATTAAAACCTAAAGCAATGTAATTTCTTTTTAAATGTAAATTTTTATCCAAATTCAATTTGCAATTCTCCATCCTGTTTGCAACCTTAATTAGAATTCATGAATTGGAATCTAAAAAACATTCTACATTCAAGGACTCTGAGGTCCTCTAATTAGGACATAGTTAACATGCTTTTTGACCTTGACGGATGCTGGATTGGTACAGGGTTTAAAAAATGTGTCTCCATCAAGACTAAAGTAGACAGGCATCTCTAAGCCTTTAACTCTAGCTAAGAAATAGATTATGCCAACTTATCAGAGAGAGAAAAGAGAGAATAAAAAGCACAGGAGAGAATACGAGAGAAACTGGCTCTTCTCTGATAAGGTGCCAAGAGAAGAGCTGTACAGTCTAACTCTCAGTACACAGCCACATGAGCCAAAATTAACTGAATGTTGAGAATTTCTCTGAAAACGCTGACTGGCAAAGTAATATGTCATTATCAGCTCACACCCAGACTCAGGGATATTTTCCCACACCCACACAACCTGTTTATCCATTTAATGAATGCTTCATGTGTGAAAATGTCTTAGAGTTTCTAGAGCAGACACTAGCTATAGGATTACATGTTAAAGGGATAGCTCACCAAAAATGGAAGTTGTGTACTGAAAGAAGGTCATACGGGTTTGGAACAACATTTGAGAGTGTAAATAATTACAGAAGTTTAATTTTGGATGTGCTGTTCTTATTAATAGTGATAGCTTTGTTTCTCACTCTGTGGTTGCTCAGTCTGGTGTTAGGAATTGTGATCAGATGGACTTATAATCATGATTCTCTCATGTTGAATGATTAGGTGGTTCTTCACCCAACTCCAAACAGCCCAAAGCAGGCAGAGCTCCACAAGATGACTTTGACCAAGGCCTGCCCTGATCAAGATCTGAAGATCAAACTTGCCGTGCGCATGGACAAACCTCAGAACATGAAAGCTTGTGGGTAAGGGATTTTGTGGGGACAGGAATACTCATCTATAAAAGTCTTCAGTTCATTTGGAGATTGCATTTCAAAACAGTATCATCCAGACATAACATCTTTTATTTCATGATATAATGAAACACTATGTACTATATTGCTCTCTACCATTTGGGGTCTGTAAGATTTTTTTTTAATGCTTTTGAAAGTCTCTTATGCTTACCAAGGTTGCATTTATTTGATAAAAATACAGTAAAACCAATAAAATATTGTGAAATATTGTAAAATAAATAATGTGAAATGTTACTACAATTTAAAATATCTTTTCTATTTTAATGTATTTTAAAATGTAATTTATTCCTGTGGTGAAAAAGCTGAATTTTCAGCAGCCATAATTCCAGTCTTTAGTATAACATGATCCTTCAGAAATCAATCAAAATGCTGATTTGGTGCTCAAGAAACATTTCTTATTATTATCAATATTGAAATTAAACAGTATTGCTGTTGTGGAAACCATGCTATGTTTTTTTCATGATTCTTTTATTAATAGAAAGTTCAAAAGAACATAATTTATTTAAAATAAAAAAACTTTTGTTACATTATAAACGTCTTTACTGCCACTTTTGAAAAATGTAATGCATCCTTGCTGAATAAAAGTATAAAAAAAACGTACTGAACCTAAATATTTCAACGGTAGTGTATGAGAGTATGTATGAGTTGAAGTAAAATACTGTGATTATTTCTTTAGGTATTTATGGGCTGCTGGCAAAAACGTTTGGAAACGCTGGAAGAAGCGCTTCTTTGTCTTGGTCCAGGTATATCTTTTTATATATTTAAACTGAGTGCGTGAAAAATATGATGAATGCAACAAAGTTTGGTTTCGGCTTCAATTTGAAGTGCCTTTCGGTCATCAGGGCCTTAATGAACCATGTACAATTTTAAGTAGCGCATATGACACAGATGTAACCCAGAGAATCTAATGGGCTGCATATGGCATATTAAGCATTTTAAAACTATTTGTTTCTCTTTCTCCTACAGGTGAGTCAGTATACCTTTGCCGTTTGCAGCTATCGAGAGAAGAAGTCAGAACCACAGGAGCTGCTGCAGTTAGATGGCTATACTGTGGACTACACTGACCCACAGCCAGGTAATACTCCCACAGTCACAGATTACTCTTATGTACCTATTCTTACTTTATGGTTGTCAGACGTTAGTGGAACATGTCCATAGTTGATGTAATAATCTACATCTTTGTTTTTTTTGTTTGTAATGCAGCAAAAATGCATTTAGGTGTATCCACCAACCTGAATTTACTTGAAGTTGACTTCTTTTATTTCTGTGTGTACAGGTCTGGATGGAGGCCGGGCTTTCTTCAATGCAGTGAAGGAGGGTGACACTGTGATCTTTGCCAGTGATGATGAGCAGGACCGCATCCTATGGGTGCAGGCCATGTATCGAGCTACTGGCCAATCACACAAACCCGTCCCGCCCACCCAGGTCCAGAAACTGAATTCTAAGGGCGGAGCTGCGGCACAGATGGATGCCCCCATCTCTCAGTTCTGTAAGTAAACATACCAGTAAAGCATTTCAACACAATGTCAGTCAGGACAAAAATTTATTGAAGCTGAGATGGCGAGTAAATTAAATACATAGCAAGGGTTGTTAATATAATATATGCCCCACAACCACTCACATAAAGTGACAGTGTTCACCGTGACAACACGTCATTTCGGTCCAAAGTGCAGTAGATAGCACAGACTAATAATGAATAAATTAATTCAGGTTGTTTTCAGGTTGAATTAGTAACTCAATATGTCATAGTAATGTTACCTTGCACTCTCAGCATACTGCACAAGTAGCAGGAAAAGGTAAGATCGAGTGTGTAGAGTGGGAAAATGTGTTTATTTTAATGTCCATGTCTTTGTTACTGCCCTTATGCACTCCTGATTAGCTTTAGTATCCATGTGTAAGGCTTTTCAGCTAATATAAAATAGCTTAAATAATTTAAAGTGGTCAACCAATACCAGCTTCTATCTATAAAGGTATAGTTAACCCAAAAATGATCATTATGACATCTTTTACTCACCCTCATGTTGTTTCAAAACCATACGACTTACTTTCTTCTGTAGAACACATACATTTTGCATTTATATTTCTTCAGAAGACTTAATTAATGATTTTATGGAAGCTTGAACCCTGTCCATTGTTCATTTGCATGCAATTTCATGTTGTGTCCTTTTGTGTTCCACAGAAGAAAGTAAGTTCTGGGGGTTTGGAATGACACGAGAATCAGTAAATAATGACAGAATTTTCATTTTTGAGTGAACTGTCCCTTTAAAACTGTTATTGACACCTTTTATTAAAATAAGATTCTGCTAAACGTTCTCACCAACAATTTAAACACCTGTTAAAGTTGAAAAAATAGTACTTCACATTAATATCAAATCACTTTGAAGCATCAAAATAATAATAGATCCTGCTATTCAGAACCTTGTCTTTTGGTGTGCATCTACTTCAGCATCTGTCCATAGCAATGTCTTATATCACAAAATGTGTCTTAAGGGAATTGATACACTGTTCAAATAAGTTTTCAATTAAATATAGCTCATGTTTTAACCACATATACAAAATCTAAAGGTAGAGGTTCTGTGTTGTTTTTCCATTGATTTATTTGTCCTGTTTGTGAATGTTTCTTGTGGTCAGATGATTCCCTCACAAGTTCAGATGCCATTCAATTTTCTCACTATAAGACAGACCCTCTCCCTTCTGAAACATTATTACACTGTGCAAATGTTTCACCCTCCACCTTAACACACCCCAGGTGGTCTTGAATGGCACAGAGTAGTGGAATATAAAACATGCAATACACACACCCACGAGCAATCATCTCTTTGCTGCAGAATGTTTTTGCAGATTCTAGAATACTATGAAGGTTCTGATAACAGCATTTTATATATTAAATATACATGATTTACTCTGATTGATTACAAAGTATGATAATAACCTACAATGATTAAGTTAATATTTAAAGGGTAGTGCAATCCCTGAGTATTTTTGTTTGGGTAACACTTTACTATATGGTTCACTTTGGAAACATTAGTTTTCATGGTTATTAATCTAGAATATTGTTAATATATAAATACATGGTAATATATAAATAATTAATGTTCATTCATAATACATTACTAATGTTAATTTACACAACCGTTGAAATGTATTTGTATATGTAGACATTAACCTATAGATAAATAAACTGAAAATGTTATTTAATGTTAGCTATTTTAAACATAAATAACTTTATGGCAAAGTGTTACCAATGTTTTTGTATTTTGAAAGCTGTGATATTCTGAGGTAGGCTGACAACCTGAATTATTTTTATGGCTTACAATTTGAACTTTAAATGGTTACTGGATTTATTCTCTGAGCAGTTTTTTGTTTTTGCTCACCTGTTTATTGGATGCAGTACCTTCATATAATCAATTTAGAAGCTGATACTGGCATCAAATACACATTTGACCAGCATTCAAATATATGTGTGAAGGTAAGTGTATTTGCCAGTACAGTGTTAGTAAATGTTCCAGTGATTTAGATTGTACCAGTGTTTGGCAATCTAGTGCATCTGTGAGAATCCTGTCAAAATCAGCTGCAGCAGAGCACAACGTAATACAACAAAATATAGTCTCTTTCTTTCTTTCTTTCTTTCTTTCTTTCTTTCTTTCTTTCTTTCTTTCTTTCACTACTCAATCTGACCACCCACCAGTTCAAACTGCACTATCTTGTTGAATACAGGTCGTTGTATTTTACGTTGTGTTTTTTCTTCGTTCATGCTTTGCTTGTACCCTTCTTTAGTCCTGCAGCTGTAGTGGAGTCAGGGTTTTCGTGTCTGCTTTTTCCTTCAGCCTTGTTGCTAGTCTTTATGTTATTCTGGTTTGTCCCTTCTTACCCTGCTGTCTTCTAGCTGGACTCAAGGGTAAGTGCTAACCTGTTAGCTAGCACCAGTCAGATAATCCTAAAACCATTATCTGACCAATGCAACGTGCTCTCTTTATCCTTTTTCTCTTGTTCTTTTTCTCCTCCTTTCAAATCTCACTCCTCATGCCTTAGACCAAAGTAGATTATTTTACTTTTCCGTTGAACTTTTTTGATGATGGTTAAAACTACAAACTTTCATTATTCTTGCCAGTTTAGGTTGCATGTAAATTAGTGCGTTTGTACTTATCATTTAGCTAAGTTAATATGGTTTATGATTTATTTGCATAATTGCCTTCTCTACATAAACATCATTGGCATCACAAGACCCCTCAGAGTAAAGTGGAAGAGGGGTTGTCTTGTTTTATTGGGTATCGACTATTTGGTGGCATTTAATTTTAAAAATAATCCAAAAATGTGATTGCTAATCTTTTGAGTAAATTCTGAGAATTTTAGAGTTTAGTTTGCCACCTAATTGACAGTCTTTGCATTCAGGATGAGTAACTAATCCAAATTTAGCATTTTGACAATCAGTTCTGTCTACGGTAACTGCAACAGTGAAGTATTGTACATTTTTGACTGCTTGGACTTTACTCTTGAGGGTTCACTTGCCTTTCAACTAATTTCTTTACTTTTGAACTTGAGCTTCACAAGAGCTGGCAAATATGTAAGTGGAGTATTCTGAATGCCAATGTGAAGGAGCAGGCACTGCCATCCCTCCTCACCGAGAAATACTCCTAATTATCTTTCGTCCGGTGGAAATGGGCCTCTTAGAAGTAGTCCCTAAACCCAATGTAGACCTTAGCAAAGATATAGTTCATTATTTGCACCTGTGTGATTGCCCTTATACTGCTTGAGTAGGTGAGCATTCTGATGTCATGTTATCCATTCAGATGCTGATGGAAAGACAAGTTCATTTTCTTCCTTTTTTGATTATCCTCCATTCTTTACAGAGAATGAATTAATTACTTTGTAGCCTCTGTTGGCTTCCTGCTAAAGCCATGTACCTGCTCTAGAACCGTAATGCTAGCCTGTTGGCACGCCACTGAAGTGGCTTGCTTGTCAGTGTGCTCAGCAACCCTTATGAACACACTGAAAATTTCTCCAGTATTGTCAACTTGCAAATGCTAAGAGAAAAATACGGAATGCTAATGGATAGGCAAGCGGAAAATGTTACTGCAATTTTTTTCTTCCTCTTTCCTTTTCTTGCATGACAATGGAAAGCACAGTGGAGTGTCTCACTGTGTTCCTGCATGTAAAAGACATCCATTTTCAATGAAATATCATATACAACCATTAAAAAATATTTTTATAGTAGTAAAATAATATTAGTAATGGTTCCTAGCTTATTAGCATCCCCATAAGTCCTAGCCTTATTTGAATGCAGCACAACGGTTTGTGCATAAGCCGATTCAAAACTGTGTGGAATGTAGAAGTACATTATTTTAATTAATGTATAATTATGAAATGTAAAAATGCAAATGAATAAGGCTAATAAATCCTTAAATCCCATAGGTTTACCCTGTAATTAGCACGTCTTTTCTTATTTCTTCCCTACAGTTCCATGGTTCATATAACTCATAAAGTCTGTTATATATTTTTACACTTCCCTTTTCTCATTTCTTTATCATCCTGAGTTGCTTAGTTATAGGGCTTCTTTGCCATTCTTTCTGATGTTTATCTTTTCTCAACTCATTCTGTTTGTCCGTTGTCTATCCTCTATCTCATTTCCTCAGTGAGTCCTTCATTCCTACAATCCCGTGTCTTTTCCTGTGCCTCTATTCTTTCTTTTTTTGTCTTCTCTTTTAGTTTAGTCTACGTCTTTATAATTGTAGCAATGCTTTACTGAGCCAAAGGATAACATAACTTGATCCAAGTTCCTCTAATTAAGCAGATCCGGATAGTATTTATTTGTCCTCCACTAGATTAAGCACTTTATTTTTAGCCATATGTCTTCACAAAAAAAGGTGTGAGATCATTGTTGTTATCTAGACACACGCCCTAATCATTGGTGTAACACGATGCACATTCTTTCTTCACATTTTCTCTCATTAGAGCACGCTCATCACTGCACAGATTTAGATTCTATCATTCTGTTGCTAATGAAGTAATTCATCAAGGGGCCAGTATTTTAGGAATAACTTTTCTTGTACTACTTTCTTCAACAAATATATGCGCATAGGACTTTAGAAAATTGCATAGACTATTTAGTTGATTTTGATTCCATTTAGCATATAACACTGAGCATATTGAAAAGCCCATGAAATTGCTTTGTGGCTTTTATGTCCTTTCTATTAGCATACACTACTGTTCAAAAGTTTGGGGTCAGTAGTTTTTTAAATACTTTTGATGCATTAAATTGATCAGAAGTGATAGTAACGGCATTTTAATATTACAGAAGATTCCTATTTTAAATAAATTCTGTTGTTTTTAACTTTCTATTCATCAAAGAAACCCTGAAAAAAATGTATCACAGTTTCTTCAAAAATATTAAGCAACACAACTGTTTCTTGAGCAGCAAATCAGAATATCAGAATGATTTCTGAAAGATCATGTGACACTGAAGACTGGAGTAATGATGCTGAAAATTCTGCTTCGCCATGACAGGAATAAATTACATTTAAAATACATTAAAATTGAAAATGGTTATTTTAAATTGTTATAATTTTCTCAATATTGCTGTTTTTATAGCAGTTTTGATTAAATAAATGTGAACCAAAAACATGAACTTACCCCAAACTTTTAAATGGTAGTTTATATGCTAGTAAATGTCAAAAAAAAAAATCACTTGTTTTACATTTTTTTTCCTTTTAACAGAAAACGAACCAAAAATATGCTGTAATCCACATATTTCTGTCTAATCAAATATTTAGAATGAAAAAGAAAACTGTGCTTGCCAAGCCATTTCTTTCAGTATCATCTTAAAGATAACTTTTGAGTATACTTAGAGACTTAGTCGTTTCAGATGCGCTATTAAATTACAGTAGAAACTTCCATGTTTGTTAATTAAATCAAAATAGGCTAACATATGCCCCTGATTTCTTTTTTTGTCATTAGTATTTTTACGAGCACACAATCCATCTTCTCTTTCGAAATGAGTGACATTGACCAATTGCGAATGGCAGAATCTATTGTATTCATGAGAAAGAAAATACATGAAAATTCATCATTTGGAATTGCGCCACTTCCTCAATGCCATCGGTGGCTTTTACGTTGAAAAGCTTTTGATTGAGAGAACAGGAAGAGACCACGCCCAGATCAGCTCATGCATGCACGTCCAGACTGAATGTGAGCTGAGGGTTATCACTCAGTTCCACATTTGCTAGGTCCGATTGAACTCTGCTTGACTTTTGCTGCAAGTTGACAATGTGAAAGCTCAATGTCCTTGATTTGCCATAGAGTACTCATTCTAGGTGTTTAGTTTTGTGGTGGGAGGAGAACAAATCATTCTCCTTGCTGTTTGCTAATTTCCTCTTTCTTGAACCCACCCCCTCTCCCTTCCTCTCCCATGAATGGCTGGAATAGATGCAGACAGGGCACAGAAGCACGGCATGGATGAGTTTATCTCAGCTAACCCATGTAGCTTTGATCATGCCTCGTTGTTCGAGATGGTGCAGAGGCTCACGTTGGACAACAGGCTAAATGACAACTTTGCATGTCTGGTAAGTGTTTTTTTTCCCCCCACTGACTTCAATGCAAAGCAACTATATGCAACATTTCCAAACTGTCTACCCATTTGTTGGAATTGTAGGGATGGTTTAGCCCGGGTCAGGTGTTTGTTCTGGATGAATATTGCGCTCGGAATGGGGTGAGAGGATGCCACAGACATCTGTATTATCTTGGTGACCTTCTGGAGAGGGCAGATGCTGGGCACATGATCGACCCGACGCTGCTGCACTACAGCT